GCAGGGGATTGAAGCTCCCAACCTCTCCTTTTTTTCTTTTTTTTTTTATTCTGGGATTTATTTACCTTCTATGGCTGTCACTGGAGCTGAGAGCCGGCTTTAGCTCTGAGGCTCGGCTCCAGCTCTGAGACCTTGGCTGCTGAAAGCAGGTATCTGCACTTTGTTTAGCTTCTATAACTGAAACACTGTTGCAACTCCAGCTCTGAGGCCCGGCTGGCTGAAAGCAGGTTTCTGGGGATTGTTTAGCTTCTATAATTGCAACATAGTTGCTTAGAGTGCAGCTCAGAGCTGGGCGGCGGCAGGCGGGAAACCTTGGCTTCCTCCATCACTGGAGCAAGCAAGCCTCCTGTTCGCTTCAGCTGCCTGGCTGCTGGCCGCCATCTTGGTTGGCAGTTAATTTGCATATTGCCCTGATTAGCCAATGGGAAGCGTGTCGGAGGTACGGTTAATTACCATGTTTGTCTATTATTAGATAGGATAGTTCCCACTAAGTTCCTTATAGTTCCCATTAAGTTCCTTATTGTTTTCACTAAGTTCCTTGAGCATCCTTTTAACCATTACTCTGAACTCTATGTCTGTTAAATTGCTTACCTCCATCTCCTTTAGGTCTTTTTCTGGAGAGTCCTCCTTTTTTCATTTGGGGGTTGTTTTTTCTCTCTCCATTTAAGTTGTCTCTTTGTGTTTGTTTATATGTATTACAGATATGCCTGCTATGATTCCCAGTCTCTGTGGGGTGGCCTTCTGTAGGAAATGTCCCGTGGGCCCCAGTGGTGCAGTCTTCTTGAACTCCTGAGCTGGATGCTCTAGGAGTAATCCTTTTGTAGATGTTTTGGCTCTCCTGTTGTAATTTGGTCTTGACTATTATCCTATTCATGTGTGGGATCTCCTCTCAGGCTGGCTAACTGTGAGGCTCAGCCCGAACCATGTTGTGAGCTGTTGTACAGGTGCAAGTGAAGTTCATCTTGGCAGATTTTGATGCCTGATAGGGTTTCCCTTTGCATCCTACTGTTATGTTGTCTGAGGCTGTTTTGTATGCTTATTTTGGGCCTCCCAGGAGGTACTTTTGTGCCAGCCAATGCCAGAAGCTGTCCAAGTTTGGCTCTCGACATCCTGTTTGAAGCTTTAAGCGATCCACAGCTGCGGCTGCTTTTACTGGGCTTGTCTGCCCATGGGAAGGGCCAAGCTGAGCTCCTAGGTCAGCGGTTCTCAACCTTGGTTAATGTTGGTGGGGCCACAACATTAGTAACAAAGAAATAGAATTTCCAGAGGATGAGGCCCAGAAATCAGGATTTTAAAAAGATTCCCAGGTGATTCTAATGTGCAGCCAAGGTTGAGAACCACTGTCCTAGGTTGGCTTTTTAGCAGCACAGGGCCCTAAGTCAGGTGGAGGGTGTGTACCTGTACTATTTCCCTGTCCTCAGCCAGGTGGAGACCCTTGTAGGCAGGCTGTTTGGGTCTGCTGGAAGTCAGGAGTTTATACCAACTCTCCTGTGAGAGGGAAGTGCCAGCCAGGCTCCCAGGCATGTGGAAGGAAGATCTCTAACTCACAGCCAGCCAATGACTGGCTGCTCCCTGAGACTGCTGCTCCCTGAGGCTGCTGCCTCTTCAGCTGGGTTAGTGGTACCAGGTGGGGCCAGCTGGATTCCTGAGTGTGGGATGAGTGGGATTCCTTAAGGTGGGATGAACGGTATCCCGGGGGCGGGGCATTTGCCATTCCCCAGGGTTCACCTGTTGGGAGGGGCTTATGTCTCAGGAGAAATGGCCACTGGGATAGTGGGAGGATGACTCAGCACAGGTATCCTGGCAGCCATCCTCCCAGCACTCTCCCCAACTCCCTCCACCCCCGTCTCTCCTCAGGCAATTCCAGTCCACATGGCCCTTCCTCTGCAGGAACCAGGTGAGTGACTGGGAACGAAAATTCTGTGCACCTGCCCTCAAAAATAATGGCTTTGCCTCTGGGAAGCTCAGTTTTCTGGCTGCTAGAATCTCCAACACAGGTTGCTACATGGGCAGCTGTTGCCGACTCTGGCTGTCCAGGTTGGGGTGCCCTGCCTGGGGGTCCCAGAGGCCCCTCTCATCCCTAGGGAACCCTCCTCACCTTGGCCTATTGCTCCTGAGAGCTCAGCCAGTGCCTCTCACAACACTGCCCTTCCTACCAGTCTTGAGGTGGTTTCTGCCCTTCCTTGTTTAAACATCTCTTCAGCCAGTCCCCAGATGGCATTTTGGAGTGAATATTCCCCAATTTAGTTCTAATTCTAGTTAGATTCTTGGGGGGGGGGGCGAGAAAAATCCACTTACTCCACTACCATCTTCCTCCTGGCCTACATTGTACCATGCCTTTTTTACCCACTTGGCTATTGATGGGCAACCCTAATGTCTTTGGACTGAAGTATTTAACCCATTTACATTTAAAGTAATTATTGATAGGTAGGTAGTTATTACCATTTTATGATTCATATTTTTATCTCTTCTTCTTCCTCCTCCTCCCCCCTCCCCCTTCCTATCCTTCTTCTTCCTCTTCTTCTTTTTCACTAAGTTCCTTTAACATTTCCTGTAATGCTGTTTTGGTGGTAATGGAGTCCTTTAACTTTTTCTTGTCTGGGCACTAGACAAGTTTTTGTTTTTTAAAAAAAAATATATTTCTTTATTGATTTCAGAGAGGAAGGGAGAAGGAGAGAGAGATAGAAACATCAATGATGAGAGAGAATCATTGATTGGCTGCCTCCTGCATGCCCCCCACTGGGGATCAAGCCTGCAACCCAGGCATGTGCCCTTGGCCAGAATCGAACCCGGGACCCTTCAATCCGCAGGCTGACACTCCATCCACTGAGCCACACCGGCCAGGGCTAGACAAGTTTTTTTAGAGTACACAGAAGTGGAGAGACTCTAGGGCAGTGGTTCTCAACCTTCTGGCCCTTTAAATACAGTTCCTCATGTTGTGACCCAACCATAAAATTATTTTCGTTGCTACTTCATAACTGTAATGTTGCTACTGTTATGAATCGTAATGTAAATATCTGATATGCAGGATGGTTTTAGGCGACCCCTGTGAAAGGGTCGTTTGACCGCCAAAGGGGTTGCGACCCACAGGTTGAGAACCACTGCTCTAGGGCTTTTTCATGAGAGGGTTGGAAGAACTTTGAGTTTAATCTAGAGACCAGAAGACTTGGAGCTTATCTTCCCAACTAACGTCTTAAAGCCTGTCTCATAAGATGGGTCCAATTCACTCTATTTCATACAAAGGAAATGCCTAGGACCCATGTGTGGAAGTTGTGGGAGCCAGATTTCAGTTCAATTTAAGAAAGAAATTTCTAACGGTCAAAACTACAAAAAACTCAGTAGGAAGGGCATTCCTGATTAAAATAATCTAAGCAGAGGCTAGGTGAGCCCTCCAGATCGATTCCTCCTCTGAATGGGTGTGAACCAGAGGACTTCTCTACCTTTTCTCTCTCTATGACATCTAAGTATGTAAAAAAATTATTTTAAAGCACACTTATAAAAATTCTAAGAAAGATACAGTGAAGTTGTAGGAGGAGGAAAGAAAATATTGGAGAATCAACTATTTAAATTATGGACTTAAATCAAGAGTTTATTTTATAACTTGTACATAACGACTTCTGTTTCCATGAGTCTGTATCACAAGCCTCCAGCTCTACCTTTCATCATGCACTGTGTTCATTTCACTGCAGCTAAGCCCCTATGCTCTCTTTTTGGCACTTAATAAGAATACTGACTGGTGCTGGGGATCAGAGTGAGGGTGCCCCTATATACACCCAAGATCTGTGTGCAAAAGTGTCAGAGGTAGGAAGAGCAGAAGAGCCCCGGAACCCTCCTGCAGGCTCTGCTTCCCATTAGAACTCAAAGCATCCAGCAGCTGCTTCTAGAAAGGAGCTCTTGCCACGGCATCCACCAGGATTCTCAGAAAACTTGGCAAAATCTGTGCTCGTGGCATTTTTGTGAGGAGAGAGGCCAAGTTCTCATCAACGTCTCAGAGGCGTTTATGACTAAAAGAGTGAGATCTATATTCAGGGCAAACCTGCATCCCCTCCACGGAGGCTGCAGCCTTCTCACTGTTGTGAGGGGTAGGGGTTGGGAGTTAGAAAGCTGATTCTGAATGGTCTCCAACTCTAAAGCACCACGGCAGAGAAACCGTGGTTGCAAACATCCTTGCTCACAGGATCCTGGGCCCCAAAGCCTTGATCTTTCAAACTATGAAGGAGTGTGTGGCCCTGGGCCTTGAGGACACAGCGAATGACAAGTTCCCAATGGCTTGACAGGTGCATCCCTCTTAATCATGGCCATGTAAAGACTCAAGGGGACATGACTGGCCACTCTGTCACTGTTATTACTAATTTAGTTACCAACTTTCCTGATTAAAAAGAAAACATAAAAACACTGCCTTAGTCAAAATTAACCTCATGCTCAAAGTCACACAAGGAGGCACAGAATGAATCTTCATGACGATATCGTTATTTTGAAAGATTACCCCTTCCCCTACCCAAATCCCCCCCACCACCATGTACCACTTGTCAATTAATAAAAAGCATTCCAGTACTGTCTACATTGAAAATGGGAAGGTGGTAAGATAGAGAAATGGAACCCAGACCAATATCAAGAGAAATGTTTTCCTTCTCCAGAGACCTTTAAAAATAAGACTGGCACTCATCTATCTGAAATGGCTCCAGCCCTTTTAAGCAGAGAAAAGAAAGTGAGCCTTTGAGGGCCCTTCTACTCCTGTTGTCCTAAGTTGTGAACATCTAAAGTGACTCAAAACCCAAGTGCTCATCTCGTGCACAAACCACAAGCACATGGGTGCCCCAGGGACATGATGTGATACAGGGCAGACCAATCGGTGGGTCTCCTGGCCACACCTTGTGAGCAGACAATTACACCACGGCTCTGAATCATTTTGTACTACATCGTTTTGAAAACAGATTCAGGAATTTGCAGCATATTTTCAGTAAGTGATCTCACAGAAATGTTTTCTCTTTCAATTTAAAAACATTTGCTAGTATTGATTGAAATGACGACACTTCAACATCCACCTGTGTTTACGTTAAATCTGTAATCAGCGATGGTGATGTAGAAATATACAGTCAATTGTCACTTCAAAACACACAAAAATTGGACATGCTATACACTTCTCTTTTAAAATGTATCTGTATTATTTTCACCAATCAAAACACACATAATATATTTTATTACAAAACATTAGGCAATATTACTTTTGAGATATGCAATCTGAGAGGTCACACCTGTATTTACCACCAGCATGAAACATCAGAGGCGTTACATTAGCGATCAAGCAGTAGACCTCGTAATCATCACCACGACTGACACAGCATCAGATCCGGATGAAACCAGCATCCCATTCAACCTTTCAACGAGGGACTCTGGCTGCCGGCAAGGCCCCGCTGAAGGTTTCCTTTCAGCTCTGTGGCTCTGAGTTTGCATCCCACAGGTAAGAACAGAGCCACACTAGCATCTCCAGACCACAGCTGTCAGCACTGAGCAGCATGTGCTTCTAGAATGCTCTCCTACTTGGACAGACTCTGCTCTCTGGAACCTGCACTTGAAATCAAGACCTGACAAAGGGGAGGCAGTCATTTCGGTTTTGAGTGAAAACAAACAAAACGAACCTAGATCAAATTCCAGGCTAATAACAAATTACCTGGTTTATAAAAATATGTGTCCAAAATAGTTACTTCCAGGGTTGTGTACAATATAAATTACAAAAATAAAATAGAGAAGATGAAAAATTGAGCACATTTTCAGTTCTTATCATCATTCATCCACAGCGACCAGTGTGAAACCCTGCGCATTGCACCAGGACCTGGCACACCTCCCTCGGAGGGGACCCTGCAGGGGTGAGGTATTCCTGTGGAGCTCTGCTGTCTACAGCCTGTGGCCTGTCCTACGCGCGCTCCCCACCACCTGATGGAAGGTGGGTTTGGCACGACGTGGGCTCCATCCGTGAACACAAACGAAGGAGTGAGCAGGAAGCCCATCTGTGTGGTGCCTGGTTAAGCGGGACTTCCCTGCACCCTCAGCACCTGGTGCTGCATTTACATAAGGCCAGGGCAGATAATACATTTTTAAAACTTTTCCCTTTCTTTGTTTTTATTTTAAAAGATAGATTTAGTAAAGCTTTTAAAAGAATGTACATTAGAGAAAAGGCCATTTTAAGATGCTTTTACATGTATAGTGATAACGGTCTTCACTATACCATCAGCCTCCAAACACAAAAATCATCCCAAGCCCCACAAAAGGTGTTTTTGCCTCAGTCCAAGTTAGTATCTCCATCTTGTACTCGGGTGTGTCTAAATCTCACAATATAAAACTGATTTCAGTATTAAATTTGCTCATTAAAGGTTCTACTTTCCAGTAATAATACCAACCAATAAGATACAACTGGTGCAGAGAAAATAAAATATTGTAGCTAATATTTATAATAAACTGTCTTATCAAAGTTCCTCCTCAGAACAATTCTAGAGAATGTTGACCCAACAGCTTCCAAAATAATTAAACATGAGACAGGAATCCGTACAGAATAAGCTCTAGGAAAAGCATTACGCACACAGGTAGCCAAAATGTGACCATCGGTAGCTCCATTTCTGCAGTGACACTGCAATACCCAGCATCTCAGTGAATTCTGAATGATTTCCACATGCAAAATTCTGAAAGCATCCATTTCAGGTGAGCAGTTTAAATCAGGAAATATGCCACAGTGAACCACTACCCTTTCAGGGTCTCCTCCACAACCCTCTGAAGAGTTTTCCCAGAACACGCACGATGTCCCTGAGGAAAAGTTGCCAACACCAACTGGGAAGCCACCAGCAGGCGTTTGGCATCAGCCTGCTCCTCACACAGACCACAGGGAGATTAATGTGCTTCTTTCAGGAAAGAAAGAAAGCCCGGAAGCCTGCTGTGTGGGAAAAGGAAACCTGCCTTGCGAAGTCATGTTCACCTTGAACGATGAAGGAAGAAGGGACCCATCTCACTGTGGGCAGAGCAAGTCCTCAGTAAGTGCCTGTGATGGCCTTTAGTGGTCATTTTGCAAAACCCTACTCTAAAGGCAATAATGGATTCAAGGAGCTATGTGCCATCATATTACTGAGATGGATTGTTAGGGGGCTAATAAAGATGGTGAATTTCTAGGTAGCATTTTAAACTAATAGTAAGTTCATAAGACCAAGAAAAAAAGAGTTAGGGTCGACAAGATTTTAAAAGTATATATGTCTAAGCAGCACAAAACACAACTTGGAACTTTGTCATGCAGTAAAGCTGAATGTGCAGCCACCAGACTAATGTGCATGTAAATGTCTTGGTTTTAGCAGAGATAATTCTCAGCCCCAAACATGACAACTTTTTAAAAAGTTCTATTTTTTATTTATTAAATAGATGTAATTATATTTCTTCTGAAATACAAAAGATAGAATAAATCATACCATAAACCAAGGTGAGATATGATAATATGATGGTGGCCAATTAATATACATAAATCTATTTTTTCTGGACAGACACCAAAGTACTTAAGATTAAGAGGTAATTCTAGAAACAGCACTACCTGGAAGACTATTTGGCATTTAAATATTGATTTCCAAAGTTCTAGATGGCAAGTTGGAGCAAGCACTGTGGTCACATGCATATAAGTCCCAACAGTCATTGAGGATGAGAAATTGTCACTACCATTACCGTACAATTAAAGAAACAAATTCATTCATTCTAATTGCTCACCTGAAATGACCTTGAACAAAATCTCTAAAAGTGTGGCTTGCACTTTGTTCTTCAGACATAACCTGCTTCACTATAATCTAGGCAGGCAATGCTATCAGGACTGAGCAGGGGCAAGGCATCATGTTTCTTACATGCAGAACATGGACTTTTTCTATTTGGTTCCATCAACTCCTGGGCATTTCAGGCCCATGGAAGCGAGAGTTCCTCACTGACAACAAGCTTGCTATTTCGAACTCATCATCGACAACCTTCAAGGGGTCCCGTGGAGGCATCGAGGCTGCTGTCTGTGTCTGAGGCCAGCGTCTGCTCGGTGGACATGGATGAAATGTCATTGATAGATGATGACTGAGAAGGAGTGGCGTTGCTACTTACTGCTGCATCTGTGCTAAGAAAACCAAGCATAATAAAACCTGAAGCACGACGCTGCTGCACACCCAGGCAGGGAGCCGCAGGGCACCCCTCGCTGTCCTCTGTGCTTTCCCGTCCTAACTATTAGTATAAATGAGAAGTTAGTTGACTGTACATTTTGAGCTTTTCCTAGAGTCTTTCTTTAGGCCCAGAATCCCAAATATTCCTGTCTTTCCATGAAACATTCTCCTTTTCTTCCTAGTGGCTAAGCATCATATATGTATTCATGTATAATCATGTTAACTACTTAAAAATGCCTGCTGGGTTAAAAAGGATATTAAAGAAAATTGCTGAATGTATTCTAAAATTATCAGTATCTCAAAAGGCTTAAGCCCAAATAGGATTCAAATGCCACCAGACATTTCAGTTATAATCGCAAACACTCAATCCAAGGACAAAAGCATCAGCTTTGAAGAATTCTTTTGCAATAAAAATACCTTCTAAAATAAGGGCTGTATACAAACAAACCAGCAAGAAAGGGGGAAAAATGTGGTGTCCTCCTGTTCATTTTATTTTTGTTTTAGAAATCTCCAAAATTGACATATTAAGGCAAATGAAATTATCCTACTTGCTACTATCCATATTTTGGTCTGGTCTGAGCAAAAACAAAACATTCAGGCTCTCAGAGGTTAGTGTCTGCAGTCTTAAATGTGGGCTTAATTAACAAAAAGCACCTAATCTTATGCTCAAGTTACACAACCTCTAGATGACTGACCCATTTGTCTTGCTGAATATAAAATTCCATAATAAGAAGCAGTGCACACAGGCCATAGAAGTTGGGTGAGAAAATCTCTATAATGAAGAGTTTCCGTGAGAAAAACAGGTAGCATCCCGCAGACTTAGGAACAGACATGCTATGTCTCTAGTGATCACACAGTTGCCTCGCTATTAGGCTCCTCCCATTAGGTAGGTCAAGGAGAAAATGGTGTAACTGTACGAATAATTTTCTCAAAAGAAAACCAAACTTATCTTAATTAGATTCACATTCGTTTTCTTTTTAACTGGGTGTGGGCCAGGACAAAGTGGGCCATGCACATCGAAAAGGCTTTACATTCAGTTTCCTCATCTGTAAATGGAGCTGACAGCAGCTGCTGCAAGGATGGGACAAGAATGTTTACCATGAGGCTCGCTCACTGCTTGGCACCTCAGTATAACGTTAGCGGCCACCCCCAGGACAAACCCAGATGGGAGACTAATCACCCACGGATTTTCAAACCCAGTGCTGGTCAGGCTGGCACTTAACACACTACTGCCACCTGTGAAAGTTGACCAGGGAGAGAAGAATGTGATCCAACTATTAAAGCGATGACTAACCTGAAGGCTGATCTTTGACAACACCATTCTTACTTCTTTCTTCCCAGTCCATGACTTCTTTGTAAATCAGCTCTGCAAACAGAAGTGCAAGTGAAAAGGCTTCCTCAGTTTCTCGGCATCTCTAACCCTTCTTCCAAGTCAACGGGAACTACTCCAAGGGCACTGGGATGTGTTATTTTTAATTGTGATACACAGTTAATTCAGAAACACAGTCGACCTAGACCAAACTATCCATGTTTTGATAGATTACATCTTTTCAACCCAATTATTAAGGCCACCAAAAATGGAGGTGGTTCTGGGTCCATGAGGGGATTTTTAAAAAAATATGTATTTTATTGATCTTTCACAGAGAGGAAGGGAGAGGGATAGAGAGCCAGAAATATCGATGAGAGAGAAACATCGATCAGCTGCCTCCTGCACACTCCCCACCGGGGATGTGCCGGCAACCAAGGCACATGCCCTTGACCGGAATAGAACCTGGGACCCTTGAGTCCGCAGGCCGACGCTCTATCCACTGAGCCAAACCGGTCAGAGCCATGAGGGGATTTTTAAAAAGGGGGCAGGTAGACAGAGAGATAGAGAGAAACAGAGAGAAAGAGAAAGTTAGCAAAGTGGCTCTCACAGAACATTTTAAACTATTGGATGCCCTCACACGTATTTGTATGTTTCTCTGTCATTACTGTGGTTCTCCAAACATGACCAGCATCCACATGTGAGCTAGAAGCACCTCCAGACTGGCCAGAAATTAATCCAAATACCTAACTTTTTTCTTGGCTTCAACTCGGTTTTCCTTGGTAAGAAAAACAATTAACTATTAAGCAATGTATTAGGGGGTTCTAAAATTTTAGGATTCTTGAAATAAAAGAAGCCTGCCTTTTGCCACAAAGTGTGGCTGTGTGTAAGGCCCTGCTGTGTGTGTGCACGCAGGTCACTGGCACTCCGGGCACCCTGGGGAGTGGCCCAAGTCACCTATTTTGACTTGTGCTGGTCATGGTTCTCAATTACTAGTGATTCAAACTTTTAATAAAAAATCATTAGTTCAGTCTCTTTATTGCTGGTTTAGTTTGTTGTGAGTTGTTTGGTTAATCTCATAGTGGACTAAAAATTTTTTGCATATTTGTGATCTGCTATTTTGCCCAAATTCTATTTTAAAACACATATACAACCACATGATTTATGAATACAGCATACATTCAAATGACCCCACTGAAGTCCCCAAGGTCTGCTTTACGGGTTTGTAAATTGGGGCTACCCAACATTTTGCAACATGTCATCAAGGTGAGATATAATTAGTACACTTAGTTGACAAACCAGGATTTGATAATGTAAGGTCATGTGAAAAAGCCCTTATTTTTCTCTTTTAAAGCCAATAATATACAATTTATACATGTTCCTTTTGAACTCTGTTACCTTCGAGTTCTTTTTCTCCTGGGAAGGGGGAGAGGGAGGGTAATGGCCTGCAGGGTTTCTTGTTCCGGGCCCCAAAGGCTATTATTGACAAGTGAGAAACTGCCCCTTCAAGGACTTCAAGAAATGTCGTAAGTATGGATCAAAATCAGCTCCCAGTTACCTTTCCATTCTTCAATCGCATGTTCTCTTTCTTCCAACTGGGCATCGTAAATTTGAGGTGGTGGCTAAAAATTAAGTTATACGTAAAGTCAATTAATTTACAAAATAATGAGGCATTAAGAAAAGGGTAGAATCACTTGGAGGACTTCTAATATATTTATGATATGGATGTAATTTCTTTCAAACATGGCTTATGAAAGATTTCTTCAAAAGTGTGATATTATATCAGTTTTAGAATCAAAATAATTAAGAAAAGATTAACCAATAAAATAGAGCTCTTATTGTCAACTTTATAATCACATGACCTCAAAACACTTTAAAGCTATCTGCTCAAATCTATATATATAAAAGCCTAATATGCAAGTGTCCCCTTGGGAGTTCGATCACTTGCTATGACATGTGCTGACCACCAGGGGGCGGCGCAGAAGGAAGGAAGGCCCTGATTGGCCCTGATCGCTGGCAAGGCCTAGGGACCCTATCTGTGCACAAATTTTGTGCACTGGGCCTCCAGTCTAATTACAAAATGAGTCATCACAGGCTGCTTCCTAGAGACCCTCCCTGGACAAGGCACTGTGCTAGGAAACAGAAGGGGGAGAACGTAGTCCAGATTGACAGTTCTTCTCGTCAAAACTCCCAAACCCATCCACCTCCACCCATCAGTGCACTGATCCAAAAACTTGCTTAAAAATCACATGCTTATATATCAGATTCTTTTCATATAAAACAATATTTAAAATGGAGGTTTAAAAAAGAATAATAAAAAAATAAAAATAAAACGGTGGTTAAATCCAGAGGCCAAGACAAAAATGAGTTCCACTGCTGGCACACAATCAGCATCCACTATGCGCTTCTTCACTCACAGCTGAGGATCGCCCCCAGTGTGCTGTGGAAACATGCACACGAGCACCAGCTCAGAGTGGAGCACCTCTAGCAAGTGCCCCTGAGAAGGACCAACAAACTTGTGATTTACAGCAAGTTTCTTAGCCTGACTGGGTGCCTAAACAAGATGATGTAACCAAAGCTCAAAGCACAATGCCAGGTACACATGGAGCTTTAAAATGGTGATATGGTGACCACCTGCCAGCATCTGCATCCAAGTTGAGTCTATGGATGCAGCATAAGCATGTTCACTTCCTAAGTACTGAGCTAGAGCCCCAGGAACAAGTGCTCCAAAAGGGGCCGTGACCCATCACATGGCCTCTTTGTGATCCTCCTAATGTAGGACTTGCTCCCCTTATGTAGACATTCTAGACCAGACAGAAGACCCTAGGAAATATAAGTCCCTGAACATATGTCTTTTCACAAGAGCTGCTTACCGCTTCTGCTTCAGCAGGGTCATACCACACAGTAATGTAAGGGTGACGCAAAGCCTCGTCCACAGAGATTCGCTTGTCAGGGTCTATCACTAACATTTTTGATAACAGATCTCTGGCTTGACTTGCTAGAGTAAAAACAAATATTAGATTAGTAACCAATGCTGTTTATCTGAAAACTGCACTATGAAGAACTAACTGTGACAGCACAGATAGAACAAAAATGGGTCTGGCTGGTGTGGCCCAGTTGGTTGAGCGTTGTCCCATGTACCTGGGGGGGGGGGGGGGGGGGGGGGGGGGGGGGAGGGCAGAGGGTGGTGTGGGAACCGGGTGGAGGGAGCTATGGGGGGAAAAAAGAGGAGGGGTGCAGGAGGCAGCCGATCGATGCTCATCAATGTTCTTACCTCTCTCTTCTTCTCCCTCTAAAATCAATAAAAAGATTTTTTTAAATATATGAACTTTGAAAATTGTTTGATAGTTTCAAGACTTGATCTTGAACCTATCAGCCTCTTTCACTAGAAATCGGGCTTTTGGATGTGGTTTCAGCCTCTAGGTCTGGAAGAGGAAGACAGAGTCCCAGGGAGCGCCTCTGCCAGGGAGGGTGCAGAGCTGAGCGGGGGCACTGCCGTCTGTGCAGACACGAAGCACAGGTGAGCATTTATTTCTGATGTCGTTCCAAAGTGCAACTAGAACAGACCTTATAAGCCACACAATAATCTCACGCTGGCACAGGATGGGCACTTCCCAGGTGCCTCTGCTTTGCCTACCTGTATACAATGTTGTCAACATACACTTTAAAAAAATCTAGAGATTAGAAGTAGCTAAAAAAAACCAACACCTTCAGTAACTTAGTTCAATGCAAGGCTCACTGGTTTTGACAATTAGTTGACATACACAGGCAAAGGAGAGATGGGGCTTTTCTGATTGAGGGGCAATTTACCTTGATGTGGAGAGAAACAAATCTCTTTTCCCTTAAATCACATTTTAGTGATGGACACAGGAAAAGGGAGAAGGAGGTTCTTTTGAACTGAACTATCATTTGTTTTCTGACTTTTCAATGGGGCTAGATCTTTATTCAAGCATCCTGTGAACCTGGAAACGTTTAAAACGTCAGCTGCTGGAACTAACGCAGGAGTCTTTCTGACTGGTGGGAATAGTTTTATTTGGCCCATTTAGTTAAGCCATTTTATTGAGGACAAAACTTCTAGGTCTTGAAGCTTTCTCTCCACAATGCCTTCATTTTAGCCTGGAAGTGGTTTTACTTGAAGGTTTCAACTATTTTGTTTCCCAATGTTCACAGGTTTTAGAATACAAACATGAAAAATGAACGCTTCACCCAGATTATGGAAACAAGAGGCTAGCTTACTTTTAATTTTGTCTCGTTCCGATTCTGATGGGAATATCCAGTCTGGAAAGAGTTCTTCAAATTTGATTCCAGGATACTTTGGTCTGTTTTCTACATAATTCCTCACAGTTGGCTGAAGTTTCTTCATGAAATCTGCAGACGGTGTTCCTAGCTGCTCAATAACTTTATTCCACTGATCAATATCTAAGGAGTCTCTTGAGGAAAATACAACTGAAATGCCTTATATTCCTATTACATAAAGTGGTATCATTCAAAGAAAAACAAATTATATTTATACCTGTCGACAAGTAATTAACTAGGCCACTCTACGGGGCCAGCAGAAGCATTTTGAAATAATATTCAAATAAGGTTTGAGTTTCCAAGTTTAGACCATTAAAAAACAAACAAAAAAACTCTTATACTCTTTATAAACTATGATCACAGTTTATTAAATCAATACAATGAGTTCTATGTGCCTTCCCATTCTAGATCGAAATAAAGGTATCTTATAACTGAAGAATACCTATGACAGAAATGCTTATCTATGAAATTAGACAGTAATTACAAGGCAAACTGAAGCCAGTTTTCATACTAATGCTAAATTAGATCGAAAGCTCCCTAAACTGGAAGACCTATGGGGCTTCTCAGTTCACAGCTGGGGAGCCAGAGCCCTGTGAGGCAGGGCCCACATCTGGCACTTGCTACCATTTTCACTTGGGAAAAAAAAAAGTTGTCAATACTTGTTTCTCTAATTCCCAGCCTCTTGCTCTCTCTTAAACATCCTCTTGTCAGGCTTTCCCCATCACTCCATGAAATCCAGCCCACCCAGGCTGCCAGTGACCATCCCTCACCCCAGTGGTCATTCTCAACCCTGACCTTTTTAACAGCGTCACCCAGCTTCCCCCTCAGCCACTTCCCCTCTGGCTTCTAGAGCCTCTCCCTCCAGGAGGGGCCTCTGTCGCCTTCACAGGCTTCTCTTTTCTCTGCCACCCGAGGGGCTTGTCCTCCTCCCTTGTCCTCTCTCAGCACTCACTACCAGTATCCTGCCTTTACACATGGCAGTCTGACCATCCATCTTTGTTTCTCCATCCCAAACCTCTTCCCAAGCTCAGCTCTTGATATCTCCAGTGTCTGACATACGTCTCAGAATCCTAACAAGGCTCACTGAAGGGCTGACCTTCAAAACAAATACAGCGTTTCAGCCGCCTCCCCCTACCATCCTGGTGGTTTCCTTGTGATAGCCCTTGACCTGGCAGGTCTACCCTCAGCTCAGCAGTTGGGCCATCCTTTTCCACTTTAGGTCAGCTGAGAGCCTAGGAAAGGGTAGCTACTGGGGTTATGTCTATAGACTACAGAGGGATAGGCGACAGGAGGACAGTCCCAAAAGCCTGGCTGACATCCGGGGTGTGTGAAGGCACCACCGAGCTCTCATTATACCACAGAGGAACCAAGGCTCAGAAGGGCTGTGACTCCTCAAGGATGCAGACACCATGTGGGAGTGAGAACTGGGCCCAAGGTGGCCTGGCTAAAGCTTCCTCTCTTATGGACCATGCTGGGACAGGAGCTCCTTTTCTACCCCAGGCCACAAACCTAAAGCAAATCTATAAGAACTGCAGACTGCTTTCCAGAATCTAATGTTTGAAAAACTGGCAAAATTATTTTTGAAAAATGATGTTAATCTCCGTGTGTGTTCTGCAAATGACATTAGGTAATCTTATATATACAATTATTAATTACAGACACTGTAAGATGTTAATATGTAAAGTAGGAATTTTAAATTACTTAATAATGCACCAAAAAGTACCCACATTTTTCATTTTTGTACTTTCTCAAGAAAACATTTCTTAATACAAAAAGGAAAGGCATAAAATGAGTAAGAACTGAGACAAACTGAATGTTAGATACTTTTAAATGATTTAACTTTAGAATATGTCAATTTTTCCCTTTTTAATTGACTTTATTTGTAAAATAAAGGCCCCCTTCCTTACAGTTTGAAACAAGTGAATCTAAGGTAGATTATGGGAAACTACTGGAAAATTTACTAGGACAAAATAAAATGCTGCATTTAACCTCACATAACATCTGTGATGTGGTAAATAAAATGACAGGAATAAAACCTTTTCATTCCAAGTTTGTGCTGTGAATAATTTATAATACAAAAAAACTGCCCTCATAAAATTATAAAAAACTAAAATTAACAAAATACAAACACTGACTACACAGCTTGATTTCCTTTAAAAAAAACATCAATTTGCCAATGAACAGAGACACTTAAAGCTTTCATAACAAAAAACAAAATCAAAGACTAATGACAATATTAAGTGGTTAGAACACAAATGAAAAAGGGCATATGTGAAGAACCATGTTGGCTTAAAAAACATTAGAGATGGAAGAATATGAGGAATATGAGGAAAGAAAGCTATATTATCTATTTACTTTGTGCTATGTCATCAATATGATTTCCTGACCACAAGATAAGTTAATCTTTGGCATTTTATATTTATTTTAGACTTCCCAGTGTCTCACAAAATACCTTTAAGCAGGTTTTTTAAGAATTTCTACAAAATGTCAGCAGAGTAACAAGAAAATTTACCATATGTTGTTCCTCACCAACTTTTACTTTAATCTTTTTCACTTAGGTGTTATGTAATGTGCTTCCGTTCTTTGGGGGAAAGTATTTTAATGCATACTAATAGCATATTAATTAAATTATGCAGGAATACTTATTGGCCTACTAAATTTAGACAGCAACTTGCCTAGTTAAATTGAGTGAACTAAATAAATAACATTTTCATTTATATCAGAATATATTCATCAAATAGTAAATAAATTTCTAATAAGCTATTTTTTATAAAATTAAGAGCTAATATAATTAGTTTAACTTAATTCCAAGCCTCAATAAAATCATTAGAGGTAGTCAAGTAAAAAAGAAAAGGTAAAACTGAACCGTTGGTTTGTGACACTAATTTAACAAACATAATAAAGCCCCTTACACCCGGTCTGGAACTATGGCGTTTTCCTTTTGAGCTCCGGCTGCTTGTAGTGCTTAAGGAAGCATGGCCGGGAAGGTCCCGGGAAGGATACGGTCAGTGCCTTGGAATATCACACAACCTTTCACCAGCTCGCCCATGATGCAACCCACTGACCAGATATCAACTGAAAATAAAATGAAATGATAAAATTATAAAGTGCCATGAACAAAACAAAGGTGAGGAAAAGGAATTCTAACAGTGTACTAAACACACAAATATGGAAGAACGAATTGCTAAGGGTGAGCTGAGCTTCACACAATGTGAATGGTTGCAGCCTCCAGTGTAGCCAACAGTGCACAGCAACCTGGGGCTTAAGTGGCAAAGATTCCAATACTTTACAGCTTAAAAAACAAACAAAACCCCAAAAACAGAAGTGCCTGTCCCCACACCAAGCTGTTTTAGCCCCCACCCCACCCCCCCGCCCACCCTGTGGCCACTGCAGGTCTCCCTGTGAAGGATACAGTCTCTTCCTGGGAACAGGACTTTATGGAGAACCATTTCTGCCATGATGCACCCGACAGACCAGATGTCCACTACCAAACACCAGGTGATTAAAACCAGCAGGAGACCCACACATCCTCCTCCAACTCCCTCCCATAAAGACCAACGCAGCTGGTAACACGCCGAACCCCAGGCCTCCTGAGGGTCCTTTTCTAAACTGTCCCGTCAGCAGGGCCCACAGAGGCAAGCTGGCTTTTCTGAGCTCCAGGGGAGGCCCTGCCAGGTGCCCTGACTTCCAGCGGCTCACCCTCTTCTGCGGGGCCAGCAGAACTCACGCCTCTGCCAGCCAGGCAGAGGGCTATCTAGTGCCCTTGCTGGAGAGGAGGCAGGTGGGAGAAGGTAAGCGGGAATCTAGTTTTCTCTCCCTTCAGCAGGAAACAACAGAGCCCAGAGTGGTGTCCCAGTGGGAGCACAGGTTACGGAGCAGCTAAATAGATCTGAGGCAAAGCCCATTTCAGATGGCTGGGGCAAACTTTCAGACTTTTTTAAAACAAGTAAACGTGAGTTCATTCTTTTTGGCAAATTTGTCAAAAGCTAAGTTTGAAAGAGCTCTGTTATTCTGTTATTGCTAGAATAAGTTTTGATGTTAAAAAAAACACCGATATCAACTTTTCTATGCAAAAAAGAACATATATTATTCCATTTGTAGCACGTTCAAAAATAAGTAAAACCAATCAATGGTGCTGGAAATGAGGTTGGTAGCTTCCCTTGGGGACTAAGACCTGAAGGGCCCTGGAGAGGCCTGGGGTGGTGCTGGTTATGTGGGTGCGCTCCCAGTAAGTGCACACTTGAGATTTATATTCTTTTAGATAAGTATGTTATACTTTGATAAACATTCAAAAATATTAACTTCAAAAGTGAATAATTTTAACTAATGGAAATATAAAAGTAATGATTTTTTTATTTGTGGACTAGGATAATCTGTGTGTAACACAGTCCCCATGTTAAAGTTCATATAACTCACAGGAAAGAGACAACACTAGTGATGACGAATGGCACTATTTTTAAACATCTCAGGCTCTCCGGTACCATCTGCACTCACCGTTCTCCTTATAGCCCATACCCAGGATGACTTCCGGCGCCCGGTAATACCGTGTCACCACGTACGGGGTCATCATGAAGTTGGTGCACGCTGTCCGGGCTAGGCCAAAGTCCAGGATCTTAAGCGTGCAGTCTGACTTTACTACGATGTTGCTAGGTTTCAAATCCTAGGACAGAAATGGTTTAAATGAATAAAATGCACCAAAGCATGCTACTAGTAAATAAACAACCGCATGCTGGCAGGGAGCGGAGAGGTCAGTGACTGCTGAAGCACATGAGAGTGCTGGCGGGAGGAGGAAAGTTAGAATGGAACCCTGGCATTTTGAAACAATTCTGGAAAATCCTATTCTCAAACTGAAACTAATACAAATAAGCCTAAAGAAGTCAGCTGGTTGCCCTCACCCCCATGTGGAAATGCTCATGACCTTCACTGCAAACCTTCCAAGGGGGGGAGCTGGCCGGGCTGAGGGTCAAGGGGCTGGTGCCCGGTGTGAGGGATGGGGCTGCCACTCGTGTAGGGTCCATGCTGCCCAGGGCCCAGCCACCACACCCTGCACCATACTGCGCAGGCATGGAGAACCTGCGGCCATGGCGTGCCACCGGCTCACCAGGGGAGGGCAGTGAGATGGGAACCTCCTCCAGGTTCAAGACCTTGATCAGCCCATTCTGTGGGAAGTGCAGCAGGCCCAGCAACCAGTGCCAAAATTCCACTCAAGGGAAGCACCTCGTCACGGACAAACAAGGACTTGCTGGTGGGTGGCTGCTGTGACATCAACGCCCGGCACCAAGCAGGACTGCAGCACCGAGGGCACTGCGCTTCCTGCTGCCTGCAGCCCAGCGCGCCTCCTCCTGGAGCACGTCCGCAGCAGGCGGCTGTGCATTCCAGAACCTCTTCAGGGCAAGGACCATTGAACTGTTTGGCTAAATGGAGGCCTCATCCCAGAGCGCGCAGCACAAGAACCCCTACAGGGATCTCACAGCAAAATAGTCCCACGGAGAAGCCCTCCTGGAAGACTTGCGCACGCACCCCGCGGGAGCACCGGCAGCCGCAGCCAGGCCTCAGTGGTCACTAGTCCCTTGGAGAGAGGTGTTGTGGGAAACCTTGGCTTTGGCCGCTTCTTGTGTTGTGCGCTTTGGCTTCACTCCGCGCCGGGCTTTACCAGGTGGGACTGCTGTGTAACGCAGCTTGAAACACCAGCAAGTCACGTTTGAAAAAGAAAAGGGGCTGGTGCTTTGGGCGCCTCCAACCTAGCAGGCCAAGAAACCCCGGGGCAGGGGCAGGAAGGCCGAGGAAGCGGGGGGCACCCGGCTGGAGCCCCTAAAGCCACTTAAGGTGAGGGCGAGTGGGCCCCAGCGCCTGTCTTAGAGAAAGGAAAGGGTCGGGCTGCGCTGGAAGTTCTTGTGTGCGGGGACCCAGTCACTGGCGCTCACCGGGGCCCTCACTGTGGTCATTTATTGCATTTCTCTGTAGGGGAAAATACCTTCCCTTGACACACTGAATGTATCCAAGGATATTCTTACTGTTTTCTCCAGTTTCATGAGTTAAGTCATCCACTTCACCCAGAGAAAATGTTGGGCCTCTTAGAATGTGTATGTTCTCTCTAGGTAGTTATTTAGGGTCTTGTTTTCACAGCATCTTCAGGAGAGGGCCCTGAACACCTTATGCTGGCATCTCAGATTGCCTAAAAACTCAAAGATACTGTTCCAGTCTAACCGATGACGAGTTTCCAGCAGCCGGCATCGTGTGCTGTCAGACTGCTTTCTAGGGGTGTCTGGGATACTTGTATGCCTGTGTGCAAGCACCATTTTAGACAGAAATTCTGACTCATCGTCCTGGAAGATTTTGTTCTCATTTCCTCTGAAGTGACTGGTCTGCTCAGCCATGGTCCAGGGGAGCCTCCTCTCCTCCCATCACGGCAACCCCATGTTAAGGGGATTCCTCAATGGAGATATGTACATCTAGCCATTGGCTATAAGTGGTCATCCTTTATTACCTTCAGATGTTACAGGTACAGAAACTGGGTTTCCCTGTGGTTTGCAAAGAAGAAGAAACCCCACTGGAGATACGTACATCTGCCATTGGCTATAAGTGGTCATCCGTTATTACCTTCAGATGTTACAGGTACAGAAATTGGGTTTCCCTGTGGTTTGCAAAGAAGAAGAAACCCCAAGTTTCTAGCAAGGAGTGAGAGACTTAAAGTGAACATGTACCCTCAGTGGCACGAGGGAATGAACGCAGGGCATGCAGGTTGCTGGTCTACATGCTCCAGGCGTGCCCCATGTTTCCAGAACAAGCCCCAAAACATTTGGTCCTCAGATCAAGACACGCCCCTGAGTACACTCTGCTCTCGGGAGCTGCACTGACACACAGCTCTTTCCTGGAGCCCCTCACTGACCCTGGGACTGGGCAAGGTCTTTTTCATGTTTTGGTTGTTCAAGTTGTTGGCCTTGGAGCCGGGCACTAGTTTTACAATCTGCTTTCACATTTTTTGCTTTCCAGTCTGCTTCTGCAATAGGTGTGGTCATTTCCCTTCACTTCCTCCTATCACTTCTTACATTTATCTTCCCAAAGTAGTCTGTCCCCATAACTAAGTTTCCTCAGAGGGTAAATTGTGTGTCTGGTGATTATTTTTAAATTTAGATCCCAAGAAATGTATTGTTTGCAGTGGACTTTTAGATTCTCTGAGTAGTTCCTGGTGCTTAATCAAACTTTGTATATGAAAGAAATGTGCATGTTCAGATGTTTTACCATCTCATTATTTTCAGCAATTAGTAAAAAACCCCACAACCCTTCTGCGGACTTCCCCTCCTCCCTCCCTTCCTCCCTCCACGCCTGGTCATCCTTCAGTTCCTAACACTCTGGCTCTTCCCTGCTCTCCAACAGATATAATTGACATTTTCTAGTAGCCACCTTAAAGAGAGTGAATAGAAACTAATTTCTAATTAGGTAAAACTAATTTTAATAATACATTTTACTTAATCCAATATATCCATAATATTGAGAAAAGACTGAAGGTAGGGAATATAAAAGGAATCACTTTAACCAAGCTGCTGAAATTATTAACATTATGAAGATGGAGGCATGAGGAAGGACTCTATTCTTGTTCTACTTAAGTAGTCTGGGAACTTAAACTTTTTGAACTTTCCAGTCCTGAGTTGATGCCTGGACATACATCTGGACAGACACCAGACCGCCAGATAACCTCTGACTTCCCCCTCCAGGTAACCCTGATTACCCGCAAAGGACCCACACATCCAGGTCACCTGACATCCTCCTGACATCTGCTATCCATCGATGTGACTAGACCCCCTGGTGCCCATCCTCTAGAGCACCTGGCACCCATCATCCAGACAGCCTGCCATCTGACTGACAAATGTTCTGGACCACTCCTCGGGCTAAGAATGCAGGGCTGCCTATTCTCAAGAATGCACTTTTTACTATAAGAAGTCCTAACTTTTTTTTATTCTTCAGAACACTTCTGGGTTTTTGCCTAGCTGTATTTCCAGTGTGCAAACTCTAAGACCCTTGAATAAATCTATCATTTATTTCTAGCCAAAGCCTCCAAAATTTTTTTGAGTTTGACAGTATTACTTATCATTTCATGGACCACTCCTCGGGCTAAGAATGCAGGGCTGCCTATTCTCAAGAATGCACTTTTTACTATAAGAACCCAACTTTTTTTTATTCTTCAGAACACTTCTGGGTTTTTGCCTAGCTGTATTTCCAGTGTGCAAACTCTAAGACCCTTGAATAAATCTATCATTTATTTCTAGCCAAAGCCTCCAAAATTTTTTTGAGTTTGACAGTATTACTTATCATTTCAAAATGTAACCAACATAAGAAGTATTAATGAGATATTTTACATTCTTTTTTTGGCACTGTCACATCCCATTATAGCCACACTCTCAGTGCTCAATCGCCTCAGGTGACTGGTGGCTACCACCTGGACAGCTCAGGACCAGGGTTTCCTTGCCCTGGCATCTTCCCATGGCTCCTTCTTGCTTTGGTAAGAATTCCATGATCACCGAGCCCCACTCGCCCAGCACACAGCGTGTGCGCCTCACCTCTCCCCCACCTCCAAGTGCGGGCTCTGCGAGGGGAGGCCCCTGTGCTCTCTGCTCCGAGAACCAGAAATGTCCGTCAGAAATGTCTGCCGAGCGGACACACATGCCCCTCCCCACGACTCTCAATGCTTCCATAGCTTCTGTCACTTTCCCTCTTAGCTCTAGGGCCTTTCTTACTGCCGATCTCCCACACTCCAGCCCCTTCCTCAGGCCACAGGAATTTGACTTTTGCCTGGGGACGCCAGCCTGCAGACTCACCCTAGAAACTGTGACTTCTGAACAATCCACAACTGCTCTATTCACAAGAATTCTCCAACATGCAGTTGCAACATCAAACTGCCCAGGCACACCGCACGGAAGGACCTGGGAGTGGTTAAGTATGAAGCTCACGTCCAGTATCTGACTTAGAACTTTCCAACTGATGCGCTGCAAATGGGCACGTGACACTGTGAAGTGTTACTTATCATTTCAAAATGTAACCAACATAAGATTAATGAGGTATTTTACAATCTTTTTTGGCACTGTCACATCCAATTATAGCCACATAGTCAGAGTGGGGGAGTGGGGCTCGGTGATCATGGAATTCTTTTACCAAAGAAAGAAAGAGCCAAGGGAAGATGCCGGGGCAAGGGAACCCTGGTCCTGTGCTGTCCGGGGGGCAGCCACCAGTCACCTGAGCTATAGCATGTGGCTGTAAGTAGAGAACCTTTAAAACTTCCAATAGCTAACGTTCCGTTTCATTACTGTTGAATACTCTCTAAACTTCCCGATTCAGGAAAACAGAAATTACAAACACATAATTTCTAAAAGATGCAGTGAAAATTCCCAACAAGCCCTATGCCGATGGCCCGGCCCCAGCCGTCCCAGAGCCTGCGTGTCCGCCCCTGCCGCAGCCACTGTTCTGCACAAGGTAAAGCCGGGAAGACTCAGCCACCCACCCAGCAGCTGTCCCTGTGAGCAGGCGCACACGGTGAAGCAGCTAAAACACCACCAACCAATGTCATGAAACAAGTATTTTTGGAGCGTTAAGTGATGAGGCAGCGTTTTTAGCCTCTCCTGAGGCAGTGAGGAGAGGAACGGCATCAACATCCCCATAGTGGGTGACCTTTCTGGACACAGGGTGGTGGGAAAGGCAGGAGGTGCTTTCTTAGGAGGCTGATTTTTTTTAAAAAAGTTGAAATGTCTTTGTTTTACCATCCAGCAGCCCCTGCAATCCAACCTGGCCTTGAACTAAAACAAGAGCCACATGAATGAATATGACCAGAACAGCTCCGCTGGCCTGCTCCGTGGACCTGAGTGAACTGGAAAACAGGACCACCTCCGGCTGCTTCCACCAGTCAGAGCTTTGTCATCTGGTACTGATTTTTTTTCCCTTGGGGGAGGGGGGCGGTGTGTGTGTGAGAAACAACACACTTTACTGCCAACTGCTGCAGAATGATGATAAAATGAAGATGACGTGGATAGTTGGAAGGGTTTAAAGAGGCCCCAGGCCCTGGAGGGCTCCCCACATCCACAACTACCTCCCTCCCATCAGCTCCACACACTACCAGGGGCAGCTTTCCAAGACAGACTGGACTTCAGTTTCAAAGTAGCAGAATAAAGACAATTCTGCCTCTTTAAATCCTAAAAATCATCCAAAACAAGGAAAACCAGAAACATACGTCAAAATACAAATGACACCTACACTTGGGGCCTGCCCACCAGAGTGTAGGGGTGTCTAGTGAAGCGTGGCCTCCCTGGCAGCCGCCAGGGGAGTATGAGTGGCCCACACGGGGACCATCTGGACCAACGCCCTGGAATGACTCGGGAAGAGAGCGCCAGGTCCTGGGGAGGCAGGGTGACGCAGGAAGCAAGACACTGGGAAGGGAAAGGAGACTTCCCAGAGAGAGGCTCTGCTCCTTCCTCACGCCCACTGGCTCATTATCTAGAAAAACAGAAACAAACTCTCCAGACTGGGCTTCAGACTCAAGACCAACAGACCCGCTGGTGTGAGGCCCAGCGAGGGCAGGGTGAGAGGCCCAGCTTGTGAAAAGCACTGACAAGGTCACAGTAACATAAAACACAATATGGACACTGATCCAAACCCAATTACACTGTAAATACTGGGAGGTGGCAGAACAGGATAGATAGGTGAGGGTTGTGGATGGTGAAAGAGCAAAGTCAGTACCTTAAGCCGTGGACACTGATCCAAACCCAATTACATTGTAAATACTGGGAGGTGGCAGAACAGGATAGGTGAGGATTGTGGATGGTGAAAGAGCAAAGTCAGTACCTTAAGCCCCAAATCGAAAAAGGTCATCGAACAGAGATCTAATCATATTTTATCTAATCATATGGAAATTAACACTAAAAGAACTGAGTTTGCTTCTGGGGAGAGAGAAATAAGACGGAGGAGTTGGGGACTCCGCTTTTTAAATAAATATCTGTAGAACTATCTGATCCCTAATTAAAATAAAAAACAAATCAACCAGCTCATTCAGCAAGTTGCAGGACAATTATGTACGAGAGGATCTTGTTTTGAAAAACATAAGTTAAAAAGGACATAAGAATAAACAGATACGCTGGAATCAGCTTAAGCAGAAAGTCTGTGTCCGTGTAAAGTGAAGAAGGAAACACCCCAGTTGCTCACCGGCCACCTCCAGGTGGCAGAGGAGGGCTGGGGGACTCTCATTTCTTTTAATTTTTTGAATTATATAAAGTAAAAAGTGGTGGGATTATGGGTGTTTTATTTTTAAATAATTAACATTTTATGCATAGCATAAAACTATCTTAATGAGCAAAACTGCAAGTGTACCTGTGTGCATGATACTGTCCACAGGCAAAAGAATAGGAAGGGTTCACAACTCAAGATTCACGCACTAAGTGTTGGCTGCAGCTCTTACCACGTCCCAGGGAGAGTCATGCTTTCCTATGAATCTCCGGGCTTAAGAGGGAAGGAACAAACAAGGTAAACCATTCCCCTTTACAAAGTTAATAAAGCTTAACGGAATCTGGGCACTTACTAAAGCGTGAATTTAATATAAGATGTACTTAAGAGACATTAAAGGTGCCTTAGTTTATATAAAAGTCTGTGAAAATTTTAGAAAAAGAAATAGAACGGTATGTTGGGAAATCTTCATTTTTAATTTTTAAAAAATTACGATTTTTAAAGCAAATTTGTCAACAGAATTTGTATTATTTTAACTGAACACTTGGTGGCAGCAAAGGCTGTAGCAGCTCACTGGTCTGGAGCCAAGTGCTCATCAGCCAGCATGTCAGGCCAGGGAAGCCTCCCGCCTCCTGGCCTCAGGCTGCAGACCTGAGGTTCATGATAGGGGCAAGGGCTGAGCCCTTTCTGGGTTGGTGGGCTCTGTTGCCACGGAGACCTCTATTCAGCAGCTGGGATGGAGTCAACCTTTCCTGGCACCTGATGGATCTGCTACCCCACTGAAAATCTATTTTTCTCTGTTATCAATAGGCTGCATTGTTCTTGTCTCACTATCTTCCTCTCCCTACAGATTTAGTTCCAAGAAAATAACTTATTGGTGTTGAAACATAGTACCTAAAGATAGTCTGTGAACAAAATTAGTATGGTAATAATTCAGAGAATGCTATGAATGATTCCAGTAAAATTACATTATTTCTGCCTCTAATCTCACTCAACATTTTAGTTGTTTCAAAAAATTCTATCACGATGTTCTGTTTATACAGTAGTCCAAATTTAAAAAAATAGAAACTCATACAACTAGCTTAGAGAATTACACTGTATCTTCCCATTAGTACAGGAAACTGTCATTCAAATCCCAGTCTTAATCCAGTCCAGAGGCCCATCACAGGCCATTCCAAAAGCTCTCACCAGTAGGGCCAGGATGCTGGAATGGCAGAATTTTCCAATAGAAGAAACAAATATTTAGGTTATAATTCATGCAAGATTTCTCAAACAACTAACTATATTATTTTTTACTTGGTCTCTAATTTCTCCCACCCCAAATCTAATCCCTTGATTCATTAAAAATGAGATTTCAAATATGGCAAAAATATCGACAGCAGGTGAATATGGATAAATGGTATGAGGGAGCTCTTTGCCCTATTCTTCTGAGGAATCCAGCTGAGCACCTGGCTCCGGCCTGCATCCAGGGTGGCCCACATGGGCCCAGGCCAACCAGGCGTTCCACAGATGTCTTCTGATCTTAACAATGTTTGGAAACTCAACACAACCCTATAGTTTATTTGGATTTTCAACACTGACAAATATTTTACAAATTTAAGTTCTTTTGTATCTGGAGGATTCTGGCAACAAAATTATTATGATTTTAAAAATAAAATTAATATGGCATCACTACTTACTCGATGAATGATACCGGCTGAATGAAGGTGTTTAATACCACAGAGCATCTGGTAAAGAAGATAGGACATTCTCTCATGGTCCAACTCCATATGAATAACCTGACATAAGTTAGCATCCATTAATTCCATAACTAAATACCTGAGGGGGAAAAAGATCAGCCATGTTCACATGAAAAGCATCCAAAATTCCTTTGTGGCTATTAAACCAGAATTTTTATGAAACAGTAATAACTTTCTATCTAACTCAATGTACTGGTTAAAGTAAAACACTAATTTGTTTTCTCTAAACATTTTATAAAGTATCTTGAAGCAAACATGTAATGGACCTTTATAAAAGTTCTTTTCCAAAAAAACAACTAATGATGTTTTTTTCAAGTTAAAAATAAAACAATTTCTATATCATAGTAAATAGAATTTCAAACATCCAAATTCTCCTACATCTTAAATTTTTTGCTATGGAATCATTCTTACCAGTCTAGAAGCCATGCTGTTATTTCTCTCATCTTAAGAAAACTTGATCCCCAAGGATGTAAAAGGAATATAGTCAATAAATAATATTGTAACAACTACATAGGGTACCAGGTGGGTACTAGACTTACCAGGGTCATTCCTCATAAGGTATATAAATGTCTAATTCTATGTTATATGCCTGAAACTAATATAATATTGTATGTCATCTGTAACTGGGAATAATTTTTTAATAAAAATAACTTCGCTTCACTTCCCCCAGCATCGACTGCCCCTATCTTTCTTGCCTTTGTAAGCAAAACTCCCCAAAAGTTGTCTATACTCACCATTTCCAATTCCTCTCCCGTTTTTTCTTATCCCACTTTGCTCAGGCTTTTGCCCTCATCTCTCTGCTGACACTGTCCTCCAGGCTCCACTGACTTCCCTGTTGCTAAGTCCCGGCTGC